GATCCTGGTGTCCTTTTTCTTGGCATCAGCGTCACACCCTACCCGAAAAGGTCGCTTCAGAATTTAAATGTAGCAGGGAAAAAGTGCAATAATGTTACTATGCGTTAGCCTACCCTAGTTTATTTACAACCTGAATGCTACTGATGTTTGTTCGTTTTTTTAATAAAAGCCTTTTGCCTCTTTCTTCACGTGACCAGCTATCCTGTATTGTTCCAGTAGATCCGACGAGTGAAGCATTGCGCTTCTCATTGAAGGCACAACAAATCGCTTGGATTCCATGTAATCGTCCCCGTCATAAATCTCTTCCTCTGGATGATGGTTTTTCTGTCGCTTGATGGTGTTGATGTCCACTGGTGTGACGTCATCTCCTGCCTGGTTACTGCACGCATCCGGGATTACAAACATCCGGGACTCGCTGTTGATGCTGATAGACTTGTTAGGGTAGTAGGCCACCATGAATTCTTTGTAATGTGTAAAAATGTTTTGGTTAGGGATGGAGATGGCGAATTCCACCTTAAGCGGGACGTTGGTGCCGTTGATTTTTGCCACGTAAATATGATGAACCTCTGTGATTGGCCCGGCTCCGTTCTCTCCTTGGCGGACGGCTAAGTCCTCTGTCAGACGAGTGAGGATTTTGTCGCGGGCCGTTTGGCTAACGCCGAAGCTCTGAGTTTTATCCCTGACAGCAGAAAAGTTGCTCTGACTATTGGCTTCGTAAATCCAGTCCTCGCATGGCACGCCGAGAATCTCTACTGTGCCATTGAATCGGAAATTGTCGGGAACCTTCGTGAGGCCTCGGAATTCAGGGAGGATTGTTTTGTTACACAAAGGGCCTCCTTCCTTTAAGTCAATGGCGTACTGAAAAGAGAGATCAATTAATAGAGATGAATGATTAAAATTAAAAAGTAACTACCCCTGTTTGCTGCGGCAAACAAGGTTAAACGTCTTTTAATAATTGTTATGTCCAAATCACGATGGGCTTGGGGCGTGCTTCTCCTTTTTTTTTTTTTGACCAGTCACAAGGCATAGCCATAAAATCGAAGAAATGAGACAATACATTTCATAACAGGATATCTTCAGGATATCCAGAACTTATTGCATAGTAAGTTTATGGTGTCTCGTAAGATGAAACTGAAATAGCTTTAAATAGATTGTAAACACGCATTAAAAGCTTACAGCAAGTATAAAGTCTCTGAAATTGCTTTAAATAGATTGTAAACACGTATTAAAAGCTTACAGCAAGTATAAAGTCTCAAGAGGCCGGTCGACTCGATAAAGCGATCGACCTGCGTTAGTGCGTAAAGAAAACGTTTTGAGTTAGTGTGCTAATATATTATAAAGGGAGGTTATGCAACGAAGACGGTAACGGCCCCGAAAACGTCTCCCAAAAAGTGGGAGTTCACGCTGTTTCAAACTTCATCGCCCTTATTCCAACTCTTTCATTTGCCAAATATTAGCGATTTTTTCAGGAGTTGAATTCTAAAAGACTGCATGTAAGTTCACAAGAAGAAAAAGAAAATCGTGTGTGGTGTTCGACGTCCTCCACAGAACGTGAAATTAAGGAGTTTCACGTCGTAATGGTGTAGTGATGAAAAGAAAAAAAAAAAGCGTGATGCAGGTGCAATTGTTGTTTTACCAATCTAAACCTATTCCTTTTTTGCCGTTCTCTTTTCGTCGCCGTCGTCGTAGCTTTAAAGCTTCCTATTAGCCTGCGAATACAGCCGTCTCTCCTTCCACCTCGATGCTAGGGGAGAAACTCTCCCGCGAAACGTCCGATCCCTAGCGGCAAGGAGCGATGGAGGAGAGACTTCTGTATTCTCATGTTTTGCTAATATCGACATCTTTTAAAATACCTGTGCCCATTTTGATTCCTCCGGTACAATTATTACCGTCATGTGCTGTGTCAATCCCATCACGAGGTCTTCACGTGATCTTCCTCCATTTTTGTCATCCCGGTATTTTTCGCTCACCACAATGCGACCTTCGCAGCCGTCTTTGTCGCAAAATGCGTCGGTTACAAATATAACGCCAAAGTAAGACTGGGGAAATTCAGGTCGTTGAGGCTCCTCGATGGAGCGTGAACAAGGATTATTTTTGTGCGTACTGCACAGACCTTGTTCAGGCTTACAGAAGCACCTAATAGAATATCACACATAAGACTGATTTGAGTCTGATTTTCTGGGATAACGCTCAGAGTAAAATCAGCCTAGGGTTAAAAATTAACGATTAGAGAACAGTGGCATGCTTGATTAATTGAAAACCAAAATAGTAGAGATCCTCTGTTTTTAGTGTAGAATTATTAACGTTTAGTTCAAAGAATTGCAAAATGCTCAGACGGGGTAAGGGGACAGCCTCTATGATGGCCTCTTTGAGGAGGCTCCGCACGAAGGAAAAAAAACGCGGTGCCAACAGCCAATAGCTCAGCCTGCGAAAACATCCGTTTCTCCGCGCTCTTCGCCGCTTTGGACGTTTCGCGCGGAGGAACGTCTGCGACTCAGCTGCAGAAATTCCATACTGATGACGCAAATCAATGTTTACATAATAAATCTGGTAGTCATGCGGTTCCAAATATAAATTTTCGTGTCTTCTTCTTCCACCGCGCGAAACGTCTCTAGCGGCGACTCCAGCAGCCAATTCAGTTCATGCTTTGATCACACTTCGCCCACCCAGACCGATGACGGCACATGTCAGATAGACCATGACACCGGGGCCTACGTGGACATCGAGAGCTTAAGTGTTACCTTTTTTGATACATCAAAGGATGAGACGCGCCTTATAGCTATTAATAATACTTTAATCTATTGAACGTGGCACTTCTCTAGCCATCCATGCAGACAGTGGTAACACCACCTTGATCCTTCCTACTATAAGGCTTACGCATTTCATTGCCGCGTTTCGACGAAATAGGTCTTAAAGGGTGAAAAACATTCCTAGACATCTACATTAAAAAAAAAAACCTCATGCATACTTCAGCCCAGGTGGACACTTATGTATTTCTTCCGCCGGCTGATCTAAGGAATCAATCAAGCATTCCCTCCAGCCTGAATTATCCGGGAGGCAGTATTTTCCCAGCGGTTTTGCATCACAGAAACCTTCCTCCTCCGCAAAGGACGATGGGACAAGCATGATCACTAAAAGGACGACAAGTAGTATCAATCCCATCATGCATCAGGTCTGCGGCAAAATGAAAAAGAGAGGACTAAACAAAATTAATAATAGTAATAATAATAATAATAATAATAATAATAATAATAATAATAATAATAATAATAGTAATCATCATCATCATCATCATCATCATCATCATAACCGCAGTTGAAAAGTGTGGAGAAAATGGTGTTGAAGCATATATGATAGCGATTGTTAGTAAACCTCCAGATACACAAAGCCCATCGTACAAGAGCAGACAAGTCACCGCCGGCAACCGAAGGCCACCCATCTTACGTTACAGTCCTGTACAGTACCTTCATTGCTAGCACTGGCCTGGAACATTCTCACTAATTCAGTAACTCTCTCATTAAATCCGTTAAGATGAAGAACCAAGTGAAGTGGCCAATCTCATATGTATCATTTCACACAACGATAATAAGGGAAGTGAAGATCTCATTACATAGTCAATCAGAATAAAACTCGTTAACTAGAAAACAAAAAAACACTCCACTACAAGTACAAACTGGTGTCATTCAAAATACCTTACCTGACAAGAGAGACAATTTCTCGCTAGCTTTTTGTAACTCGTTTTTTTTTTAAAACCTTTTAACCACCAAAATTAAAATCCCCAGATGAAGAAGCAGTTGAAGCAAAAAGGAAAATCTTACCTGATATGCTTCAATAAAATATGAACATAACTAAACAGCTTAAGTAATATTTTTCTGTTGAAGGCGGTTACCAGTTATTTGGGAGGGACCAAGATGACAACTGAATCAAAAAAGAAGATATTTATTGCCAGTGAAAAGGAGACTTAAAAATTACCTATAATGAACTTTAGCTGTTAGGTAAAATTTGGTTAACACCAATTATCGATATTTTCTTTTAGCAAACTGACACTGCTTTATAAAAGATAAAAATAAGTTTATCACTATGCCAGTAAAGAAAAGCCCAGCGATCCTGACAGCACTGCCTTAAAAACGTTTACAGATCTCAATTCTGAGCCTGCTCAGTTTACCCTGGGCTTAGATAGCTCAGCTGACCTTAAGAGCTATCAGGATCGTTTAGCTTTTCTCAATCGACGGCTGATTATCGTGGTGATTGGCTGCCTTAAATTGTCACGTTTATTAAAAACGTGGAACTGTCAGTCACTTAGCGTTTTGACCGGCGATATAGCCACAGCGAAAAGACAAAGATTTTTTCGCGATTTCCTCGCAGCACAAGGCTAGATATGCGAATTAACTGGAGACTCCTGTTAGATAATCGGGATTCCGGAAATGGGGAAATGTTGCTCGTGGAATCCGGAATTCTGGGCTTTGGGAACCATAATTCAGTTCAGGGAATCCGGAATCCCGTAACGACTGGAATCTGGCGCGGAATCCAAGTTGACAAAAAATCAGATATCCAGTTACCTGGAATCCTGAATCCACAGCGTGGAATGTGGAATCCCTGCGATTATTGACACTAGAGCGCAAGTTAATTATTACTTTAATAACATGGGTGTGTGGCGCTTGTCGCCGTGAGTGCCTGGAACAGAGAGCTACTTAGGATTAGACTCAATTAAACTCTAAATGCCAGTGGAAGCCTTACAAATCATTCACACAGACATGCCTCTCACAAAACTTTTTTCTTGTTAAAAATGCATCAGGCATGCTCTGGCAGAATGCATGAAGACGATTTGAAAGGCTTGAGCCTGCGAATATCGGCTCTTTCAATCAGCGGACCCAGCATAATTGATTATGTAATTCGTGTAGCAGTCATGTTTCGGATCTTTTTCTCTGCGAACGATGTCTGGTCGAGGAGCGTACTACAAGAATCTCTACGGAGGCAGGGGGTAAATACTTTTAATGCTTTTTTAATGAAAAACACTTACAAAAGTAGCCCATTGACCTTTTGTAACTTAAGAGCTGAACGCAATCATAACATTACGTAATTACGGAAATATAAGGATTTGTATGGGGGGAAAATATGCGATTCCCATGGTAAAATTAAAAAACGTTATTTTCAGTCCTTTTCAATAAATATCGCCTACTTTAAGTCCTTTGTTTTCATATTTTTCTAAGTAACAGCCATTGGAACTGAAACCTTATGAAATGGCCCGAAATCGTCCCGAAACTAGCTTGTTCCGGGAGTTCAGATAGTGGGAAACGGAGCAGTCTTGAAACCTGAAACCGGTTGAAAACACAAAAAGACAAACAAATTAGGAGTAAAGGTAAGCGATTTTCATTGCAAAGGACTGAAAATAACATTTTAAATTTTGCCATGAGAATCGCATATTTCTTACCCCATTTAAATCCTTATATTTCGTGACTATATAATGCAATGTCATGATTACGTTTAAAACAAAGGTCAATTGTCTTAGATCTTGGGCTACATGTGCAGGCACGTGGCTTTTTTCAGGTTACATAAAATTTTGTGTCATTGTAGACAAACCTTCATTTTTGGAAACCTTGTTTGTAGCCATGTTGTGCTTCATACATTTCTTACCTGTACATCACACCTTTCAGAAATTGCAGTAGTAACGAATTCAAAAAAATATATGGTTTGCTGTCATCTTACCACCAAACTAGCTCACCACCGATGAAATCACCACCAAAAAGTCTACTTGCCCCAATATAATAATTCTCTGTAATAATTGACACAGTTTACTTGCCTAAGACGTAAACTTCTTCGTTAAGTCCAATCACCAGCTGCCACAAATCTGTTGATCGTAATTGACGCCTTACATGTCCTCAGCTTGAGTATTGTAGTTGGGATCCTAATGAGAAAGGTGGCATTTTGTCTCTCGAGAAAGTGGAATGGTGAGCAACACGCTTTGTTATGGGTGACCACAATTAGGGAGTCAAGCTTAACAAACATGATCAGTACCATCGAATGGCAGTTCCTTGAAGAATGAAGAGCAATTGCCTGCCTGGCTCTTTAATGTACAAAATTGTACACAGTCTAGTTGATGTCTCCACCGCAACTCTTTGTCCAGTTGGCTGCCAAACATGTCATACTTCTCATCTGTAATTCCGTCATCTGCAATCTAATGAAAACTGTTGTCGATCTCCCTTTTCCCTCGCACAATTCGCAAATGGAACTCGTTACCTTTGACTTTATGTAATACTATCTCAGTTCAGTTATTCAAATATGGACTGTCTCTGTCTATCACTGAGATCTTAAATTCAAGTCATTACCTTAAATGCCACTTACAACCACCGCTAAATTTTACAACCCATATAGTATCAATTTAGATTTAGATTTAGATTTACGTCTAACTTTTCATGCGCTTAATACTCTAAATACTGACAATAAGTTTGATGGATATTTTAAAAAAAAAATGGTGTGAGATGCATGCATGTGCCAAGGGTTGCAATGCCCTTGTGCCCAGATTACCTAAAGATCCTTACCTTATATACAATCACTTAAAAAAACTGGCAGAAAACTTTTGTAAGCATGATCAACTAATGGTTTAGTTCTATTTTTTGTGAATATACTTGCCACTTTTTAATATTATTATCCAGGTTTATTTTGCATCGCTTGAGTCGGGTGGGAGTTGTTAGAATTCAGCAGCCTTTCTTATGAAAATAGGGTAACATTGTCACTTAACCCATACCTCATTAAATTTCATTATCGAATTAAGGTGAAGGAATTTTCTTTTAGAGACTTGTCCTTTCAATAAGCAGTAAGATATAATTATTTATTGGTGGGGATATCGTTGGTGGCGAGGTGACCAGATACCGTCAAAATTTTGCTTACACCACTGGAGAGCTTCCCTCTTAAAAGAATGTGTATGTTTATTGTATTATAGTAGCATCTCTGCAACCAAAAAGACCAATTCTTGGATGCATCTTGAAGCACCTAGAAGTATTATTACATCCCCATTACACATATCATAATAGTACTATTACACATATCTGTGTTGATTTATCAGGTGTGTATACCCCCTCTTCCATGGGATAACTGGAAGGAATCTATATAACTTCTGTTTCAAGGTGCTTTTCTGCACATTTTTCAGAGGATCAAGAGGAGGTGGAGGAAGAAGAGGTGGTTATCAAGATCGCAACAGCTATGAAAGACCCAACTCTGGATGCAATGGCAGTCATGGACCAAATGTTGGGCGTAGAGGAGATTCTGGAGTAAGCACTATAATTTAAATTATTTTATATTTTATTATATAGACAGGAGTGTTTTACTGGAACATATACCACTCGTAAAATTCATAAAAACTACATCCGGGACCCGAGTGGTTTATTTTCCATAATCTCACATGTGAGTTTATCGATGACGTAATTTCAGTAATTTCCCTCTATTATTTTATTGATGTCTTTTTGTCTATATAATAAAGAGAACATTACACGGCGGCTTGGAGATATGAATTTTATTTTCTCGTGGCAAAAACAATATTTTACTCACTTGCTGCGCTCGTTCGTGAAATCTAAAATAAAATTCATATCTTCGCACCACCGTGTAATATCCTCTATATATACCACTTTCAATAATTGAAACCTTGTCCATTCGTTCATTACAGGGAAATCTCAGACCGAGGCCTTGATGTATTGACCTTGCTGTTGTTCGGTTCAGTCGATACATCAAAGCCAATTGAGGTTTGAGATTAAACCCACCGAATGGAGGAGGAAGGAATCTGTATTACTTCTGATGTCTGATGTCTTATATTACAATGAATACAATAAAAGAACACGGGAAGTAATTTTCAACATCCATGTGCAAGAGGTCATTCAATGAGAAATTTTTGTCCTAAGCCTGCGATCAGTTAATACCATGCAGGCCAGGACCAATAACTGTTCAGCAGGTAGCTTTAAAAAAAACATGTCAGCACAGTAAGTTGTATACATGAACCTTCGATAGAGTCATGTGACATGTGTCATGTGTTTCCCTTGGAACATTAGACCTTGACCAGTCCCAGTGGCAGATCCAGTCTCCAGGGGGTGAGGGTTGGGATGTAGAACCCATTGATTAAATTTGCCATTGTATTGGATTTGTTCAAGTATTATTTTATTTTTGACCCTGATCTG